GTGTGTCTGTGGGATGGGGCGGCCATGAGGCACTGCACATCAGGCAGGACCGGGAGGCTGGCGGCACCGCGGCCTTTCATCGGCGGCTCCTCGGGCGCGTGGCCCCAGTGCCGGTGGACGGCTTTGTGGGAAGGCCGATGGCTGCTGGTGGGGCCGGGACAATGCGGGGATTCAGCAGACCGGGGGTAATGCAGTGCGAGCGAGTCTGTAAGAGGCCCTGAATAGGCCAGGCTGTGCTTGAGAAGAATGAGGGGTAGGCAGAAGGCAAGCTAGTGTTTCATGATCATCTTATGTTACACTTCAGCCTTTCAAAGAGTGTCTGGGGCTGGTTGAATGAACCTCTCTTGCACTGCGAATGCGGGAGGCTAAAGACAAAGGAGACTCTTGTCACTCGCAGGCCCCTTTCGGGAATAAAAGCCATTGTCACATGAACAGGGGCAGTCTGGCAGGCTGTGCATGCTTCAGTGCCCCATGATATCGCTAAGTCTCAGCAGAAATCACATTCAGGGCCCTGTCAGCTTTGATTAGCGGGGTCTCATGACTTAATGTGCTGCGATATTTCATGTCTAAGGGTGGCGGCTGTCTTTCTGTGGAATGAATGCCCTCGATTGTCCGCAGAGTTATTTTATTTACATTTTTTTAAACAGCTTATAAAGGTAAATAGATAGCTGTGCTTAAAAAAAAAAAATCAAATTCCTTTGCTTCTGGATCAGTAGTAAGTGCTGCTCGGGTCAGATACAGTGAAACTTGTTTTCACAGTCAGCATCAAAGTTCTCATCTTGTTTAACAGCTTTATAGTAAATTCTGAACAGGTGGCAGTGGAGCTGGGTTTAGGAAGGAAACAATAAATAATGTTTTTAGCCTCTGACAAGCAGAAATATTCCTGGGCCCAAGAGCTCCCAGTCCGACTGCCCTGCGCCGTGGCTGGCGGTGCTTCTTCGCCCCTCTGTCCGTTTGTCTCTGAAACAAGAATGCAGGTCGGAGCTGTCAGTGCAGTGGGCACTATTTGCTTTTCAACAAATTGCTGTTGTCTGTTCGGATTTCTCTGTTTTCTGAAGCTGAGTGTATTTTTCTACGGATGCTTTGTCTGTTAGTTTATACAGAAAGGGGAGGTTGATTCTATACATTAAGATCCTTTAATATTTGCTATTTCAGTTAGAATAGTGTGGGTTACCCTATTGAAATTCAGTCATTACAATGTGTTGTAAAAGAAGTTAGAATAGCTGCTGAAAAGGCTTCACAGGCACAAAATACAAAGTTTCTGTCAGCAGCGCACTGTAATACACAAGTTGTTTGATAGTTCAGCAGGAAGAGAATTTGGCCAAAGATCAGCTGAACTTAAAGGAATACAAATATGCTAAGTCTGGACAAGCATAATTCAATCAGCAGCGTGTCCTTAAGTGCTTGTCTGCAGGGATGTTTTGAACACTGTTTCAGGGATGGTGTCCTTGTAGTCCTCGTCATAGTGGTGCTGGAGTATACACTGTGTATGTGTGTAAATCCAGCAGTATAGGTCAGTGTTAAAATTCATTGGACACCTTAATGGATGTTCAGATTTTGGATTTCTTCACTCTGAACTTTTTGAGCTATTCTCAGGTCTGTGAAAATGTCTCTGATATTGCTTCGTTCTCCAGTTCCCCACCTTAATTGTTCATTTCATGTGGTATTTGTGTGCACTTTAGGATATAAAATGTACACACTTGATCTTCTTGCTTCTTTTAAATTAAACAGTATGGTGAGGAAACCAAGGAAAATGTAACAGGAGGTATTTCTCCTGTAAAGATGATAGAGCTGGTCTCAATCTTTTCTTCCTGTCAACCTACTGTTGTGGCACATTGCCTGCAAGATGCAGAGCCACGCTCTTCTCCAGGCCTGTTCCAAACACTGCAGCTTCTGGAGCCACTGCCTGCTGCTGGCATCTTCTGCTGAGGTGCTTGGGAAGGAGCTTGTACGTTGGTGGGAAGTAATAATTCAGATGACACTGTGCTGCCTTTGCTGTGACACTGGGATCTTGGCAAGCAAAGAGAGGGCTTCTGAGAAAAGGTGTGAAAGTGCAGAAGATCTAAACGCAGAGAGTCTGGGTCTGGAGAATCTGGTGAAGGTGAGCAGCCTGTGAGCACAGGAAACCTGAGCAGTGGGAGAGGTTCACTGAGTTGTAAGTGTGCACTGAGCAGTTAAACCAAGGTTAAAAATGCTTTGAGTGACCTGAGGAAATCAGTGTTTGTTTCAGTTCCCTCCTCCCTTCACCTGTATACACCTGTATTCCAACCTCGACTTCTGCCTCTCTACCTCAAATTCTTTGTCTATGACTAACCCATCACTACTTGCTTTTGACTGTCTCACCCTTTATAAAACGTGGCCATGCTCTCTTGAGAGTGGACCTGGTAAATCTCATGTTTTTCGTGTTCCTGAAGATCTTCGTACGGACAGCTGTGTATATCGTATACTCTTTTAGCAGGAAGTAATTAAACATATAACTTGATGTCATGCACTGTGCAGCAATGCTTTCTGAGAGTTTGTGCAGAGCTGATTAGCCACAAGTTTGAAATGAGCAATTGTGAAAACACAAAACAGATGTTCCCAATGATTAATAAGTGGTGTGCCTTTTACTCAGTTATTTCTACCGTTGTATGTATCTCTGCTTTGATCACCGTGATTCTTTGTAGAGCTGGCGCTGAGTCCTCCTCTGCAAATCTCAGTCTGTTCTTTGGTTTGTTCGATGGCTTGTCAGAAATTCCTTCACTATTTGTTCAGAAACACTTCAGTAAGTGAAGCACAGGCATATTTACCTTTGTGTTGTCTCAACTTGCTTACAACAGGACCAAGTAATGCAGCAGTCATCACAAACTGTTTGTGTCTGTCCTTCATCATCACTCCAAGCAGTGTTACTAGCAAGAGGTTATTCCTCTGATGCTAGCCCCACCGTGGGAAAATTGCCTAAATTGTCAGCATAGACACCACCCAAGTGCGCATAGCCTTGCAGATAAGATCTTGTGTGGCTTCCTGCGCTTCATACTGTATGTGGAAAGAACAGTCATTTTTAGATGAGACAGAGCCAAACGCATTCAAAACAAGCGGAGAGGATCAGGTATTGATGTGTGTGTGTTCACTTAGAAACTGTCACCGTTTTCTCATGATCTTGTTCTTGCAGTCGCATGACTCGAAGAGTGGTGGTTGTGCAGCAGCAGCGCCTCGTGCTCATGGCTTGGCCTGAATGCATCAAATCAGTGTCCCTTCCCCCCATGCTGTGGTCTATTGCACCTCCACACTTTCTAGATAAAAATTAAAGCAGTATTCAAATTCTTCAAATTCTTCTCCATGTTCATCCAGCCCTTCTCTGCTGTATTTTGAAGTGCTCACCTTTAGTAAGCAAAACAGCAACTAATTTTCAAAACAGGATTTTTGCTTTCTCCTTCCTTATTTAAAGAATGACCCAAAGCTCCTTGAAAACAATCAGAAGTCTCAAAAACTCTGATGAGATCTGAGTCAGATTATGCTTCATCGCCTTTCTGTCCTGTACTAAGCAGTGGCTTCATCACATTTCCTGTATGCTTGGGAACAAATGGCAAGAGTGGGATGCGGTGCTGGGGCAGTTGGGTTTTAGTGCAGGTCAAACGCTTTACAACTGTTTACGAGGGTGGATGGTGATAGGACAAGGGGAATGGTCTTACACTGAGACAGGGGAGGTTTAGGTTGGATGTTAGGAGGAAGTTTTTGAGCCAGAGGGTGGTGAGGCACTGGCACAGGTTGCCCAAGGAGGCTGTGGATGCCCCATCCCTGCAGGCATTCAAGGCCAGGCTGGATGTGGCTCTGGGCAGCCTGGGCTGCTGGTTGGTGACCTGCACACAGCAGGGGGTTGGAACTGGATGAGCGCTGTGCTCCTTTGCAAAGCAGGCCATTCTAGGATTCTATGAGTTTATGGTAAGTTGTAGCATACTAGAATTCAGCAGAGCTTTCTGGTGGTCCCGTGCAGAAGTTGTCTTTTTGCTCTTGTTACTCAGCTGGTGATTTGGGGAAGACATCTGCTGCTTAGGATTTCCGTTGCCTTGCAGATCCAACCCGACTCTGGGGATCTGTAGGCAGACAGACACGACTGTTAGCTTCCAGCCCCGCGGCTGGTCTGCTCACACAGCTTGCCGGGTGCCACATATGGGGAAACACTTGGTTCTTGGATGGGGAGGGGGTTTCTCACCATTTCAGTTGCAGCATGCTGTCTGCCTCATTAATGTGTTTGTTTTCTAACTACAAAATGAATCTGCGAGTGAGGTGTGAGCTTTTCTGGAGATCTTATCATCTGTAAACAGACTGTTAAAAATAGGGTCGTTTTACACAAAACTTGTTTGTGGAGCGAAACGATTCAAAACACGATAATAACAAAACAGAATCTTAAAATAGCCTGAAGTTGAGACCACAGGCACAGCTGCCAAACACTTTCATCTTTATTACAGCTACTCATATCTCTTCTCTTATTATTCCCATTGTAAACACACTGATTTTATCTAAGTTTTCCTCCCTATTCAGCCAGCCAGCCCATATCAGCGCACCCCGCAGCCCAGCTGCTTGTTCCTAAGGCCTGGGCTGCACGTCCCCATCCAGCACAGCAGTGTGCAGGGCCGTGTTGTGGAACTGCCCCAGGTGGGTGAGTGTCCTCTGAGTGCCAGGAGCTGGCTGTGCTGCAGCAGCGTTTGAAGATTGGCGTCTCCCATGTTGGCTGAGTGTCATCACTGTGCCCTGCGTGAAAGAGGTGAAGCCATGCTAACACAGTGCGTGCTCACCTCATTAGGGCACCTGTACTCGTAGTGGAGGTGCAGGTAACACCACTCCAGTTAGATAACGGTTCTGCAATTAGGTTAATCTGAACGTGCGTGTCAGCATTAAAAAGCTATTGCGGAAACCACTGCACACTTGCATGCTGAGGCTCACAGATTACTTGTTTCATAACAAATGGTGAAAGGAGACTTTTAGAGGTTCAGGTCTCCTTTTTTTGTTATTCAGCTAGTGGAGATAGCTGGGAGGGACAAAAAAAAAAAAAGAAAAAGAGAAACAAAGTTTTGGAGACACAAAGCTCTTCTGTGCATCCAAAGCAGACGTAGCAATGCTCAGCCTGTATACAACCTGAGAACGATCTCTGTGCTTGCACTTTGTGATGTCAGTCTGGTAATTTCAAAGAAAAGAGACTTACGCACATGATGAAGCAGAGCAGTTTAGGCCCTAAACAGATGGGATTTTAGTTATCAGATCTGGAGTGAGAATTTCACAGAATCACAGAATGGCCGGGGTTGTAAGGGACCTCAACCATCATGAATCTCCAACCCCCTGCCACAGGCAGGGCCACCAACCTCCACATTTCACAGCAGCCCAGGCTGCCCAGGGCCCCATCCAACTGGCCTTGAACACCTCCAGGGATGGATGGGGCATCACAGCCTCTCTGGGCAGCTGTTCCAGCACCTCACCACTCTCTCTGTCAAGAACTTCCCCTGACATTCAACCTCAATCTTCCCTCTGTCAACTTCGAACCATTTCCCCTTGTCCTGCACTTATCAACCCTTTCAAAGAGTTGAGAATTCGTTGCAGTTATGTGGGCTGGGACGCTGCAATGTGACTTTCTGTTCAGTACCTGATTTGTAGCATACAGTCACTGTATTAATGTTAATTCCTAAAGTTCTTTGGTTGATTTCTTTTTTGGATGTCAATCCTGGGCAGTCAGTGATGCAGTGTTTGTTTGCTTAAAAAAAATTGAAAAATGTTTTCCCACTGACAGTGGGGCATCTCTATGCTTCTGGCCAGTCAGACAGACCAACTCAGGTGGTGTGTGTTGTTTATTTGCTTTTGTACACAGTCCTCAGTGCAGGGGATGTGGAACACATGGATTTCCCTGGAGGAAATGCAACCGACAGCTTTGTTGTGAGCAGTGCTGGCTCTGCAGTGCTGGGCTGAGTCTGCAGGACTTGTGCATCCAGCGATTACACGAGGTGTCACTTGAATGGTAGGAGAGGTCCCAGAAAAAGGTATAAAGGTGTGTTCCTACTCCACTCTGGTAGTTTTTCTTGTTAAATTTTTCTGTACATGTTTTGTGAAAGTGAGGTGTAAATGCGAGGTTTGCATTTGCACTTCTACTGTAATACCTTTGTTTACGTATTCTAACAAGTAGCAGATCAAGAAGGCCATCCATGAAAAAAGGAATCCATAATATTCATTGTCTCTTTCTCTCAGAGCAAAATGAATGACAGAATAGAAACCCGTCTAAGAGCACAGCTTGGTCTGTAAGTCCCACCTTACTGTTTTTATCCTCATCTGAATAAATTGGCATTTGTGATAAAATCTGCTGATAAAAGACTCTTCTCCTGTGGCTGCTGCTTAGTGTAAAGCATGCTGCAGGAGGCTCAGAGGTGCAGCACCATCAAACATGTACATTTACAACCAGCTTGGAAAATGGGGAATTTCTTCACAGGGAGAGCGGTGCGGTGCTGGAACAGCCGCCCAGAGAGGCTGTGGATGCTCCATCCCTGGAGGTGTTCAAGGCCAGGTTGGATGCAGCCTAGATCTAGAGGCTGGTAGCCCTGCTTGGCAGAAGGGTTGGAACTTGATGATCCTTGGGGTCCCCTCCAACCCAAGGCATTCTGTGATTCTGTGCCTCTAAGATTGGACTTAGGAAGTTATGGTGGATCAAGTTTTTTGATATTATAGAATAATTGTTTGATATTGGATATTGTTAGAAAATATCCTCCTTGGCTAGGCTTCTCCAAGCACTTTGCTTTCTCCCTCTTTCTGCCAGACAACCTGATCTTTGTTTTTACACTGCTCACAGCATGCATTGTTGCCATGGGTGCTTTGGTACATTTTGAAGTGGACTGTACGTGGACAGATGTTTGTTCTTGAAAACCTAACAGAAATAATTATCTCACAGAAACTTTCTGTAATAGCATATATACTTCAGTGTGAAATAGTGCCTGTTTACCCACTGTGTTATTCTTTTCCTAAATACACGTTTTTTTAATTATTTTCTAGGCAGCCATCCTGAGTATTAAGCTAAAACTACAGTCAGATCAAGATGTGGAGAAGGTGAGTCATTTCCTCTGCAGACTTCTCTGTCTTCAGATCCACCTTTTGTTAAGCAGGAATTCCATCAAAGCCCTCTAAGTTGTGATGTATTTCACTTGAGGCTTTATCTCGTTTGCAAGAAGTCACTGCTCCATGGCTAAAGTACCTTTACCTCTAGAGGAGTGACAGAGTATATTTTGTTAGGCCCTTTACTAGACTGTTTTCCTACTTAGAGCCACTACAATCAAAAATTCTAGCTGTGTTCTTGGCAAATAATCATTTTGGTAAAGTTTATTGGTTTTACTGCTTTGAAGCTTTGCCACTTTCTCTAATAGTTGTGTTGAAAATGCAACATCTGTCTTTTAGACAGCACAAGTTGGTTAAGTAAGGGTTTGGCGATTTAGAGCTCTTCCGCGCCTCCTGTTTGCTGCAGCACTGACCATTCTGATCAAAGGCAGGGCATAATTCTTAACATCCAGCAGAAATAACCTCAAATTTCTTTTCCTAGATGTGTGCACCGCTACTGTTTCAAGACAAAATTAACCTGGTTGAAGATTATGTGGGAGAACATCCTGAGCTCCAGTGCAGGCTCTTACAGATCCTGGACACCTGGTGTGAACCTGATTTTAATATCAGAGATATGGCAAGGTAGAAATATTTGTTGAACTTATAAACAGCTGGGCTGACTGCCTGTCAGAGGACAGCATGTTCTCTGCTTGCCTACCTGAGATCATTTTCTCAGCATAACGGACTGCAGTGTATCTACTTTTCAGCTGAGGATGGGGACATTCTGGTATCTGTGCCAGAGTCGTTTCAAACCCTTTGCTGGTAAGGCAGAGATATCTTTCCTATTGACAGATGCTTCATCCTGTCAGGAGAGAGGAGTGCAAAATGAGAAGTGTGCAGCAGATCTCAGCAATATGAAAATATGAAAGCTCCCTCCAGGAGGTTGTGCTAATCACACTCCTGTGCTTTGCTGGAGACAAGGCTGAGTTTCAGTATCGGTTGTACAGGTTTGGCAGGAAGATAACACTGTGATGAAGGGGCAGAAAAACTAGAGATACTAGTGGTTAATCTTCGTATTGTTGTGAAATAGTTGTGTGTGTTTTAATTTATAAATTGCCTCTCACTAGAATAGCTCCTGTCAGTCACAAAGCCAGCAGTACAATAAAAGTCACAATGTAGATGCAATGGTTGCAGTCATAGTTTTGAGAGAAGATGAGAGGGAATTGCTGTCTTTCTCTTTCCCGGTCACTGACTGGGAAATTTGTGTGGCTGTATTGCTGGCTTTTTCCTATAACTCAGGAAAGGTAGGGGTCTGTTCTTGCCAACACCTACCAAACCCTGGTACCTCTGCTGCTAAGTATCTGCTGTTTGCAAAACCGTAGGCAATTCCACAAGTACGGAATTTATTTGTTTGTTTGCTTACAGACAGTATCAAGGTCTGTCCAGGTACAAGCCAGATAAACTGAACCGCAAAATGCTGAGCAAGCTGATCTTCAGACTCCTGGAGCGATTTAACGTAGATCCAGGTATGTGATGCTGCAGCATACTCTGGAGCCACCTCAGTAATACAGAACAGATGAAGTCAGTTGTCTTCTTCCGTGTTTAGCAAGGAATCTCTGCTGTAATATATCATGGGTAGTTTCAGAGTTTAATTAATGGTATTCCAAAACAAGGCTGGTAAGTTATGGGAATTATCACTTTGTGCTGTCGGAGAATGAAGTGCTTGTGACTAATAGGCTGCTTCTTCCATGATATGAAATAAATCTTGACCTCAGAATGGCTCTACATAAACACATGATGGCCAGCTTTGAGTTACGACTCCATTCTGCTCTTGTAAGAAGCAAGTCATTACTCATCTTGGGATCTGTTTTCTTGAGTTATGAGTCCACCAGTTGTGAAGAGATAACCCTTAGGAAGCAGAAGCCTTGCAGTCCTTTGTATTCTTTTTGTAAAATAGGGTTGGCAGCAGGGAACTTGAAGACTTGCAGTTTCCTGAGAGAAGTAAAGCACTTTACATCACTGAATAGATCTGCTACACTACCAGTTGTCTAATCAAATCTGCTTCATCCTGCTTTTTGTTGTTAGTGAGCGCTGTTGATTTTTGCCACCCTTTGGGACCATATGTTGGAAACCTTCAGGTGCACTGTTAGGTTTCACCCTACAAAGCTTTCCATCATCTCCACAAGATACGCAGTTCTCTTTCCTTGGACTGAAAAGTGGTTTCTAACCACAAACTGTGGGCTTATTATGCCTGGCAGCAACGCTGTATTGCATATTAATCTTCACGTTTTCAACCTGAAGCTCAGAAGTTAATAAGATAATCCTTGCAGACCCTCACTGGAGGATAAGTAAGTACAATTAAGCTTAGCACTCTGGTGTGGAATCTGAGGCACAAGGGGGTGATTTATTTAACATTTAAAACATTCCTTGGAGTTTACTAGTCTTCAGTAATTTTTCCTTCTTTGTGAGGTTAATCATTCACTAGGCTGTATTGTCCTTCGTGATCTGTAAAGGGCATTGAGCTGTTGCCCTTTCATTATGAAAGATGCACCACAGATATACCTTTAGCTATAAATGTGAAATGCCATAATTGTTCCCCTGCAAAGTCCTGAGGTAGTAGGACTATAATAATAAAAATTCTAGGAGAAAGAAGAATATGGAGCTGTTGATCTCAGTTGCTCTCTATTGGCTGGTAGTGTGTCAGCCTGGTGAGAGCGTCCCAGGAATTGTACTGCCATGAGTAATGGCAGTCTCTAACTGGACCTCTACAGTGGATCCACAGGTGAGGGGTTTCCCTGAGACGCAGAATGAGAGTCTCTCCTACAGACATTATTCCTGCCAGCAGTTCCAGAGAGTGACTTGTCCCACACTACAATGCAGGGTGAGCCACAGGCTAGAGGGAACTGACTCACCTACTGTGTGAGATGGCATGTGGTCCTTCTTCTGCTTTTGAAACAACGTCATACTTGGCCCAGCTACAGCCAAGGTTGGCTGACTCTCACTCATAGACGTGGATGTGAAAGTGGATATTCATTTTTTTACCTCATATCACAGAATCACAGAATTGTAGGGGTTGGAAGGGACCTCCAGAGATCATCGAGTCCAATATCACGTGTAATTCAGAGCAGCACTTGACACTTTGCTAAACCAGGGGCCTTGTAGTCTCCTTTGAAATACTTTGGAAATTTTTCAAGCATGTGAAATTTTGTTTTCGATCTTCTTGAACTGAACTGAAAGTGGTGGCAGCTGGAATAACGTGACTTTCCTCTTCTCTGCTCCTCCTTCCCTTCTTTAGTGCACGTAGATCTTAACTGTGAGAAAAGAGTGCAAGAAGGAAACAGACTTGGTAGAATGGACAGATTCTAAAAACCTTCTTCTGAGATCTCCTCTTGTCCTGAACAGCTCCACCAAAAGCAAGCAGTGAGGTGAAACTCACACTTGGTGTCACCTAACCTGATTGTGGGCTTGCTCGATGCCGCAGCCTTCGGCTGCTTGCTGTCTCCTTTCATGACTCCCACTTGCTGAGAGAGGCTGAGAGCAGCAGCAGCAGAGGGAAGTGGCTTTTGGTGAGAAAGGCTGGAGGAGGACAGGGTTTCTTGGTATGAGAAGGCAAGCTTGTACGTGACTCAGTTACTGTAGTTCCAAATCCACTTTCATTCTTCCTCTACCCAAGAGCTCTCCGCTGTCCTCTCAGAAAATGTCAGTGAACCTAAGCAGAACTTTGGTGTGTTCAGCCTCTAAGACTTGAAACACCTCCTGGAACTGCCAGTTTTACCTTTCAGAGCCTGACAGGAGGTGGCCCAATAAAAATAATAGGTCTGGAGCCTCAGAGCAAATAAACCATCGGCTTAGGTTAGTCCACCTCATCTTTTTCTGAACTGCATCCCAGCATCCCTGCTAAACACAAAGCAGGGCATGGTAAGTGGGAGATTTTCTGCTGAGTCCCAGGGGCGTCCTCAGAAACTGTGTGTGGATTCCATATAATTAGCTTTATTGGGGAAGGAAGAAGTCTGGCAGAAATGGCGTGTGATTGAGGAAATGGCGTTTTACAGAGTCTTTTCTCACACCTGGGTCAGTGTGCTCTGGTTTAACGAGCCTTGTAGCTATTGCTGCCTAATTGCTTAATGCTCTTTGGAGACTCTCAGAGGTCGACTTAGATTTGCAAAACAATTGTTAGTCCAAAGCAGATCTCTGAGATGGGGGAGCAGACCCTGAGTTTGGAATGGTTTTGTTTATTTGTCTGTATCTTTACACAGCCAATTTACCCCCAGCAGCTCAGCGTTGGCTTTAGATGTGACAGTTCATCATTTGTGAGATAGGAAGGGAATCAGAGCCGTCACCTCTCGGGCTCAGCTTTCGTGTGACAGTAAAGCAGTGATAGAGAAGGGATGGGAATTGAAGGTATGGCGAAAAAGTCCTGCAGCAGCATCGTGAGCCGCCTGAGCACCTCGATGCCCGGGCACTCTGAATGTCTTTGGAAAGTGGTTTTTTGGCATAAACCGAGCGAAACGCTCCTGGTTTGGTCAGCAGGTTGGTTGTTCCCTGAAAGCTGAAGCTTTGCTGCCTTACGGGTCTCTGCAAGGAGCGCTGCCCGCAGTGCCGCCGTGCCCGGCGCGGTGTCCCGGGGCAGCAGGGGGCGGACGAGGGCCGCCCGGCAGCGGGCACAGCCCGGAGGAGATGCGCTGAAGGAAGGAGGGGCTGGGCCGGCTCCTGGCTGGGGAAGATTTCAGACGTTTTCACCTTTTGCTTGTTAAGAGCAGGAGGTGGTTCTTTTCCTTTGCAGTTGCTTTGCAGTGGCTGTGCGCCCTGCGGCCGCCGTGGCGTTCCTCCAGGTTTGTTAGCCCTCGTGGTGCATGCCAGCTCGTTCCTGTATTGCACTGTAGGCTTACACACCGGGTCCAAGCGTCCTGCCCTGGGCTGCACTTGGGCTGCTGGAGAAGGGAACATGTCAGCTCCATCCTTGGTCCTTACCTTCTCCAACGTGTTTGCCTGTGCTGAAACACAAGGGGTGCATGACCTGCTGTAGGCAAGCCAAGGCGCCCAGCAGCTCCACGCTGTCCCTTGCAAACGTCACACCAGTCCTGGTGTTCTGGCTGTGAATACATCCTATCTATACTTGTGGAGAGACCACACCAGAGCGATTTTTCCTGTAGGCACTGATCGAAAGCCATGTGCTACACTCTCCCTGCACAGGGTCAGCCAACACTCCTGGCAGCAAAACCAGCAGGGAGCTCGAGGGTTTGGGGCCAGACTTGGGCTTCTGCTCCCCTTCCCTTCCGAGGACTGCTCAGCCCAACCTGCAGTGGCTCAGAGCACTGTGAGAGACAATGCATCTTTGAGGTTACAACAAAAAGAGGTTTTCTTGAGTCTTGCCTTACCCTCCACTGATTTGCACTCAGGGAATACTCTCATCATAATATACTGCGATTAATGCACAGCTCGCTCCTCATCAGGTTCCCCAGCAGTCCTTAGCAGTACCGGGGTAAAAGCCTCTAGGATTTCAGGTTCTCTGATTTTATTAAACCAAGGCTGCTTTACTTTGTCCCACAACAAAGTCTGCTTTGTGTGGGCCCTCCTGTTCTGCCAGGGCAGAGTAAAGGAGTCCCATTGTGAATGGAGTCAGGCACTCCGTGTAACGAGAAGGCCCCGTCCTCATCCCAGCTCAGGAGGAGTCATTTGTGACCTGAAAGCAGCAGTCACACACCCAGAAATGCATTGCACCATGTACTGGTGTTACATGAATGAAACAGGTGTGTATTAGTGGTTTCACATCCGATGTGACAAACAGATTTCATTTTTACTTCCTCTCTGTTGCTAATAGTCATTAACTCCCTGCTAATGGCTGAGAGCAGAGTGGAATTTTTGCTTCTGAGTCAGTCCCAGATGTGAACCTCTGTGCAGCACTGTTGTGGAGCTGTCGTGGAGGTGCTTCCCTATTGTTATGTTGAAAGGGTAGGAAATGGTTTTAAGTTGAGGGAGGGCAGATTGAGGTTGGATGTCAGGGGGAAGTTCTTGACAGAGAGAGTGGTGAGAAGCTGGAACAGCTGCCCAGAGAGGCTGTGATGCCCCGTCCATCCCTGGAGGTGTTCAAGGCCAGGTTGGATGGGGCCCTGGGCAGCCTGGGCTGCTGTGAAATGTGGAGGTTGGTGGCCCTGTGTGTGGCAGGGGGTTGGAGCTTCGTGATCCTTGAAGTCCCTTCCAACCCTGGCCATTCTGTGATTCTGTGTTTCTGTGTTATACTGTTTGTGTTCCACTGGTGCTTCACAGCCCAGCGATGATCCCCAAGCTCCCCAAGTACAGCTGCAGAATAGGAAGATGGTTATTATCCTGCAAACAAAACACCTGTTTTGACTCAGATCCGAGTTCAGATTTGTGCTTGGTCCTAATCAGTACGTGGCCTTGGAGAAGTTGCTCTTCCCTGAAGTGAATTGGTTTCTGCAGTCATGAAACTGCAGTGAAAAGGCTCAGCAAAGATTCTGCAGTGCCGCCCTCATCATGCTCAGTGCCCACAGCCACAGGGCTCCCCTTCTGCTGCTTCTGTATAAAGTCTGTAACCTATTCTTACTGACCTCCAAGGTGGAAACCTTGCAGCATCCCATGCAACCTATGGTGTTCTTCTCTAGCCATTCCATTAGGTGTTTTTTTTTTCTTCCAAAATGCTAACTGGAGTTTCTCTTGCTGCAAAACAAGTCCATTACCAGCAGCTTTGTCCACTGTAAATGTGGGAGTCTTGAAAACTCACAAAATGCTGCATTTAATAGTACAGAGCACCTTACTGTAACAAAGATGAGCAATACCTGGCCCATACACAGCTTTCCTCCTCTGTGCAGGGACTTGCTGGCACTTTCCCTGGTCTTCCTCTTTTTACAAATTTGTTTTTAGCAAGATTTTTTCTGCCTTTATGGTTCTTGGTGGATGCATTTCATGTTTAACTTTAAGCTTTCTGACTTTACATGTTTGCATTCTTCCTTGGCCTGCGTCTAATTCAGTTCCACTTTCTGTGCACTTCCTTGTTGTATCTGAGGCCTTTCAGTGAGACTCAGCCCTTTTCTTGCTCTCTGCCTCAGTGTCATAGATCTTCTGATATAGCAGTTATTCTCTTACTTCACTTCCAGTTTTCCATTTCCAGCTCTTCTGAACCTTTTTCCCTTACCAGCAATATGAAATCTTACCTGCCAGTTCACTGAGGTCCATTTTGGTTTTATTTTGCTGTTTTTCCTTTAAACCCATCTTTGTTCCACCAAGTTACTTTTCATCCTCACGTTTTCCATTCTCTGTTGTTTGTAATAAGATACTGAAAATGGATTCAAGTTCAATTCTTCCATATCAGAGTGGAAAACATCACTGGTGTCTTTAAAATTGTACAGAGTGTCTGTGTCCCTCTATCCTGGCATGTGAAATCCCTTGGTTCAACCAAGTCCCATCCTTTGGAAATTTCCTCTGGGGTCTCTCAGAAAAAAAAAAAAAAAAAAAAAAAGCCTTTAACAGATTCTCTTTGGTGATCTGAAGCAGTCCCACTATATTTTTCTCTGAAGTGCTTTGAAATCTTTAGGGTAGGAGGTATAACCTTGCTTTGAGGTTATATGGTCACACTGGAAGGCGAACTTAAACATAACAGCTTTAAACATTGGTGTTTGAGATGGCAGCGCTCAGGCTATAAGCAGTGATTCACCGGGCTCTGAAAGCTGCACTGTTCTGCATCCTTCTGCTTGCAGGGACTGGTGGTCAGAGATGTCTCTTCGCTCTGTTTTCAGTCCTCTGGGCACACCACGTGTGACACGGAGCATCCTGTGGAGAACACCCTCTGGACAGCAGCACTGCTTCCTCCTGCTGTCAGCTCATTACAGGGAGGCTGCGGAGCGTTTTCTCTTTACTGTTGCCTGATAGCATTTCCGATTGCTGATCCTTCTCCTTCCGGCTCCCAGGATGGCTTTAGCCACTGAAACCAAACGGAGGGCTTGGTTCCACCTTTCCATGCACACACATCCCAGCATCCTGCGAGAACTGACAGTATGCCAATCCTATTCAATCTGTTTTATCTTCTGCATTTATCTCTCACTGCACTGGATTTCAAAACAACGTGCTGTGTGAAGATCTGATTTTTTGCAGTTGTAATGCAGCGTATCTAATGAAGATGACAGTAATAAAAACAAAAACAACTGTTGCTTGCTAGCTCAGCGACATGGTAGTCACTTCCCTCTTTTGTATGGATATGGAGTCTCTTTCCTGTGTATGTATTTTATTGGATGAACTTTAGCCACAAGTGTAAATCCTGAGCAACGTGTTCAAAACTGCTCAAATGAGCCAACAGCACAGCTTCCATTCAAATCAAAATTAATACAACCTTTAGACACCGGAGGTGGTACTTCTGAGAGGATGCAATGTAATTAAAGGTGTGAAGTCATTGACTGTGAAGGATATTGAACCAGCAGGTGATCTTATCAGTCAGGGGTGGTGCAACCAGAGATATCAGTAGCCAAGGATTAGCATTGGTAATCATGGCTGAAAGTGTAAATAACAGTTTATAGTTGAGATAAGCTGACTGTGTGTGTCTGTCCCTCATTGTTCTGAGTTTGATGGCATCCTGCCTTTCTCTTATTTAGTTTGAAGCTGGGGAAGAAAAAATCTAATGGCGAGCCAGTAAAGCTTATTGGAAGTTCAGTTATGTTGTATACTCACATGCCTTTTTTTCCTTTTAGCTCTCTGTCCTAATGTCATAAATCAGCGGCACTTGAGAACTCTGAATTATCTCTTTTACAAGAGGTTTGTGGAGGTATGTTTCTGTATTGTGTGGCATGGCTGTGGATGAGTTTTTATTTGTTTCCGCATTCTGAATGACTGGTATCACAGAAATACATGTATATATATCTATATGCTGTATGTGAACAAGCTCCTGTGGTAGTTACCATGTAGGCGTGCTGGGTGTGCTGCTGGACCTGTGCATTCTGTTAGAGAAAAGCTGCTGTGTCCATTCATATTCCAATGAGCAGTAGTGGTAATTACACAGATCTGGGTCCTTGTTCACCTGTGTCCTCAGCAGTGCCCTGGGACACATGTACATCAGCACATAGCTGGTAAGGGGGGACTCTCCACTGGTCTGGTTTCTCTCAACCATCACAAACAGACTGGAGAAATACTGCATAGAGAAGACTTCATCTTTTATTTTCTGAATTTAAGAGCACCGCTGTGTAAGCACTCTGCATTGCTCTGTTCCTTGTAGTCACTTCTTTGTTACTGGTGGCCCGCCTGTGACAGGTTCAGTCCCAAGCCTGCCACAGACAGTTTTTGTGCTAGCAGCCCTGTTACTACTGAGCCAAATGGGAGTGCTTTCAGCTCCTGAATGACTGTCTGAACTAACTGTACTATTGCCCAACTTCCGAGTCCTCTTTGCAAGCACACTGTTACATGTCCTGGCACTGAGGGCTCCTAAAAACAGGAAGATGCCATTAATTCTTTCTGAGGAGCATTTTCCAGGAGGCAGCCTGGAGTTTGACTTGCAGTTAATTGCAGAATTGCTTGACAGTGCTTTCTTCTCCCCTCTCATGAGTGTGCTGAGCCAAGTCACTGCCCTTTGAATCACAGAATCACACACAGAATGGCCCGGGTTGGAAGGGACCATCATGAATCTCCAACCCCCTGCCACACGTAGGGCCATCAACCTCCACATTTCACAGCAGCCCAGGCTGCCCAGGGCCCCATCCAACCTGGCCTTGAACACCTCCAGGGATGGATGGGGCATCACAGCCTCTCTGGGCAGCTGTTCCAGCACCTCACCACTCTCTCTGTCAAGAACTTCCCCCTGACATCCAACCTCAATCTTCCCTCCCTCAACTTAAAACCATTTCCCCTTGTCCTGCTGTTATCCACCCTTTCCAAGAGTTTATAGGCTCCCTTTAGGCATTGGAAGGCTGCAGTGAAGTCACCCCACAGACTTCTTTTCTCCAGGCTGAACAAGCCCAGCTCCCTCATCCTGTCTGATCATCTTTGTGGCCCTCCTCTGCACCCTCTCCGACAGCTCTGTCTTTCTTTGGATGCACACTGCGGTGGGAAGCTCATTTCCCTTCTTGTTAACTGTTTTGGTGCTTTTCTCGATTTTCTGGCATTCCCCATCACCCTGGGCCTGGCAGATTGTCTCAGCTGAGAATCAGTTTTGTTTGCTTCTTCTTCTTTCATGGCGTGGTATTTCACCAGTTGCAGTTCGTAGAGGACTTCTTCCCTGTGGTTGCAGGAAGCTCTTTAGCAGCGATTTCAGCGGCCCCGCACGTTGTTCCCAATTGATCCAGTCTTCAGAGATCCACTTTGCAGGAAATGAGACACCTTCTCCAGAAGTGCTTTGTCTTTTTTTTCAAAAGAGGATTCGTTTGAAGTTTGCTTTGAAAGGGAAGATGTGGTCAAGTGGTGGTCGTCTGATGACACTGCTCTGGCACAGGCAGTTCTGCTTCAGGCCCTCCTGATCCAGAAGTAAGGCTGTGATTCCTGCCTAGCAGAAGAACTGACACAGACCTGGGGAGGCATGGGCCATTCTGCATCCTTCATCACAAGGCTGTGGTGTTGGACAGTGTCATTCTAGGGAGCATTCACTGTGAAAGAGGCGAAAGCATTTGTCCAGGTGTATTTATTTAGCAGAGTGAAATGGATTCTTTATCTGGTGTTCTGCTCTCCCTGGCCTTCCATTTCCTTTGTTTTGCAGTATATGCTTGATTTAAAGTATCCAAGCTGGCCAGTGACTTCAATTAAGGTACATTTGGCAGCTGTTTCTGGACACCATCCCTTCTGAGAGCTCTTCGGTGTTCTGTTTACCATTCTCAGCTGTGTACGAGGTCTAGTCAAATGGCTCCTTCATCTCACTAGTATTTAGATTACATGCTTGTATATCTCCAAGGTGTTTTCTGTGAGGCTCTTACTCCCTGTTTGCTCTCTACCTTTCCATAGAAGTGGCACTAGTAGTCACTGTTACTCTGCCAGAAGCTGGGGGTGAGGCTCTGGCATCCATGGCAGATCAGTCTCTTGCAGCCTGCTTTCTTGGCAGAGTGGAGAACAGCTCCTGTCCCAAGTTTCTCCCAAAGTTGGCTCTGAATTACATTTGAATGGGAATTTTAGCTTATCGGTTTCCTTTCCCAGGCCTCATGATTTCAGAGGATTTTTCATGACTTGGCTGTGGAGAAGAGTCTGTCCTTTCGTATTCTGGAGGCTCAGCATTGCAGATAATCCCTGAGATCATTTCCGTACTGCAGCCCATGGGGACGCTTTCTGTCAGGCTGTGCCACAGAGGGGAACATTCTATGGACACACTGCACACCTCCTGAGGAAAAGGCAGCAGCAACAATCCACGTGTTCCACCACACTATGGCCCGTTTCAGCTTTGCTCAGTGATGCTTGGTTGTTGCAGGAGCACCACTCGAGTAAAGGTGATTGCTTTTATAAGTGAGTCCCAGCTCTGGGTAGTGAGGAGTGCTTGAAGCACTGCTGGGTGAGGAGCTGTGTCGCCCATGTGCTTTGATCAGATTGGGGCTTTTGTCTTTTGTGATGTAGCTGCCCAAATTACACGGTCTGGGCTGTGTTTTTCTGCCATTCTCCGGCTGGTGACATATGAGAAGCACAGGTTTCCCATGCATTCCTGTATGCATTCCTCAATTGATGGCAGTGTTTAGGATGGTGTGTTAAATTTCATCTTGTTGCATGTAGCATTCTCCTCTTTGTACAATAGCTCAGGAGTCATTTTGTCTTTTCAGAAAACCATGACTCAGGAGAATTGGACAGATCACGTCCAGGTGAGTATGGATTTCTCTCTCCCATTTTCTCAGGCTATTTGGCTGGGGGCTATTTTAAGGGGTTCAGAATAGACAACCAAATATTGGAGCCCAACTATTAGAGTTTTACACTTTGTGTAAAACCTCAGACAGCAAAATAGAGGGTGCAGGGAAGAGCAAGAAAGAAAAACTATATTTGAATTCCTGTGAGACTTTAAACAATCCTGGTTTAACTTTAGCTTTTGGATGATGTTATCAAATGCATTCTTTTGCTTCCTGGTGCTTATTTGTACAAATAATGAGGATGCTTAATTATGAGGAGGAAGAGAAGAAATTTTCTTCAGGCAGCTGGCAAACTGTGTGAGTAAAACCAAACAAATGTCAGACTGGCCACTGAACAGCCCACTTGGAATAACTCCCAGCAGGTTCATGTGTGGCTGTTAGGCACTGTGACTTCTACATCTTGTGCTCGGACATGAGCAGTTTTAATAACGCAGGAAAAAGTATTTTGTTTTTTCTTGATGTACAACGGGAGAGCTCAGGCAACTGCGTTTTGGCCTGAAACTGCAATAAATACATAATAGGACAATGAGATACTGGGAAATTCTATGGTGATACACCATTAGTGACAATGTATACACCCAGGCATGTGAGATGTTGTGCACTATCTGTACACACCAGATTTGGGTGCACTTTCAACATGAGATGTTTCTTCTCCCTTCCGTGAGGTAGAAGGAAAAGGGACAGTGCCAATTCATGAGGAAGGGTTTCTTCAGACAGATGGTTGATAAGATGGCCAGCATCCCTTCGTGGTAATTGTGAAACCTACTCTGTGTCTTTCTGAGCTGGATATTTAACTTCCACGTGTAGCATATTGTACCCTTGCAAGAGGCCAGACTTTGTGAGGGAAGATTTGGTCTTGTTTCTTGATCTCAGTGATCTTTTCAGCATATTTGTGGTTTTCCTTTGATTCCCACAGGCTTGAAGGCCAACACAAGCGCTGGCTTCTTGCTGGATCAGGACCTGAGATGGGATTGGACATGAGGGTGTAGCAGACTTCATGTCACAGCTTTGGTGCATGCAGTGAAGGAGTTTTTGCCAGTGCCATGGTGTGGATAGTGGGAAAAACCTCTAATTAACATACACAGTTACAGACCATGTCAGTCATCTGTAGCGATGGGATGCATGGCAATAGATGCTCAGGAAAGTTTGGTGGCTGGTGGGAGCTCAGCGGGATGATGGACTATGGCAGGAGATCATCTTTGCTTTCTCCAACCAATGCAAACACTGTGTTTCCTGACTGCTACAGCTTACCCAGTTTTGATAGCTGTGTAATTATCACATGGGTAGTGCTTAAACTTGCCTGTTATCAGTCCTAGCTCTTCTTGCTATCAGAGATTACTGTCTTTGGCATCGCATTAAAGCAATCAGATCCTGTACCTGTGCATCTGGAGGAAACTGAAATAACTGCATGTGCAGCTAAGCTGCTGCTCCACGCTGCTAGCAGCATGGCTGCTTCAAGGAGAAGAAAAGGAAAATCTCTGGACATGCTTTGTTTACCAGTGCAAAACTCAAGGCTGACTGTAACTGTTTTTTTGCAAGATTGGGCTTTACCTGAGGGAAAAAGTGTACTTCTCACTCGGAATTTCATTAATGACTTGGCATGTTTTGACCAAACAACAACAACAAAAGTCTGTTAGGCAGTGCCATGTGGGGCTGGCAATAGCTGCGGTTGGTGTTGTGTGTTCCATCTGTGCATGTAGTTCAGGCTCACTGCAAGTTTTGGTGTTTGGAGCTCTGCCTGGTGATGCAGCGCTGAGTGGGAAGCAGGGGGAGGGATGCAGAGTGACTTCTGGGTCCTCTGGGGCAGTGGGAACCAAAACTCCCAGAAAACTCCATGATTGACAACAGCCAGAACCTTTGTATAGTATTTTTTTTTCTGTTTTAAGTCAAAAGATGCTGAAAGTTTCCATGGGTTTAAAGCCTTTTTTTTTTTTTTTTTTTTTTGGTTAAATTCTGTGCTGCATCCATAACAAAAGTCTTAAATTATGCAGATATCAAGAGCCCTGGTGCAGCCCCCCTTATTCACTGGGGCTGACCACATTCGGTATGGCGTGTGTGGTGTTTCTTTCTGTTCACCCAAAGCAGTACAAGTGCAGAATTTTCCTGTTCCCACCCTGTAGGATGAACGAAGGTGTAAAGCTGACTGCTCCTACAAAAGGCAGAAGCCCTGTAGTTAATCATGGGGCCAACAGAACCTGTTCTCAGCCCTGTAGGAAACTGGTTTTGCCCTCTCCTGCCTGCCGTGCTGGCCAGGCTGCGGCTGAGCAGGCAGGGATGGCAGCCGTGGGCAGGCAGGGGCTGGAGGGAAAGCAAAGGAATCAAAACGTCTTCATCCCGTAGGGAAAGTGCCCTCATCAACCGCCTGTTGGCAAGCCCTGCCAGCCCAGGAGGAGAGCTACGCTTTGTGTGTCTTCTCCAAGCACAGATACCTCGGGGCACAGGGAGGGGAAGAGCACTCTTCTTGCACAGTGCCAGCTGTGCTGCTCTGCATTTGCTCGCCTAACTGAGCCTGTGAGCCGCGTGGAAACACGCAGGGAGAGTGCCTGTCCTCACAAGCACAGAGGAAGGTGTGTAGGGTACTGATGGTAGATATGCAGGAGAAAAACAGGCAGGGCATGAGCCAGCTGTCTGCTTTGCTGTGTGCCCTTCTTCTCCCATTTTTGCATGTTTAATGTTTTTCATAGCCTTAGCGAGCTGCATAAGGTTAATAGAATTGGGTACAAAAACTGCAGACCAACTGGTGCGATGCTGATATTGAGGAGCAGTCTGCCTGCCAGGGAAATCCTGCCAGGAAGAACCACTCTGAGACTAAAAAGGGTGGTAGGCATTTTTTGTGGAATTACTGAGTTGGAAGGGACCCTTACAGCCATCAGGTCCCACTCCCTGCAGTGCACAGGGACACCCACAGCTCCAGCAGTGCTCAGAGCCCCAACAGCCTGACCTTGGCTGTCTGCAGGGATGAGGCACCACCGCCTCTCTGTGCAACCTGTGCAGTGCCTCACCGCCCTGAGCGTAAAAAAAGCTTCTCCCTTATGTTCAGTCTCAATCTCCCCTCCTTTAGTTTGAAGCCATTTCCCCTTGTCCTATCATAACAGCCCCTGCTGAAGAGTCTGTCCCCTCCCTTCTCACAGCCCTGTAGGTACTGATAGGCTGCCCTCAGCTCTCCCCACAGCTTTCTCTTCTCCAGGCTGCGCAGCCCCAACTCTCAGCTTGTCCTCACAGGGAGGTGTTCCATCCCTGCCATCATTTTTGTGGCCCTCCAACAGCTCTGTGTCTCTCCTGCACTGAGCACTCCCCACCGGGACGCAGTGCTCCAGGTGAGGTGTCACAGCACAGAGCAGAGGGGCAGATCCCCTCCCTGCCCTGCTGGCACGTGGCTTTGGATCCAGCCCAGGGTACGGCTGGCTCTCTGGGCTGCAAGGGCACATTGCTAGCTCATGTCCAGCTGCTGTCCAGCAGTATCACCAGGTCTTTTTTGGCAGGACTGTGCTGTGTCCTTACATCCTCCAGCTTGCACTGATAGCTGAGGTGCCAGACCTGGTACTTAGAACCCCATGAGGTTCTCCTGGGCCCACGGCTCAGCCTGAATGGGTCCCTCTGGATGGCATCCCATCCCTCGGGTGTGTAGAACGCACCTCACAGCTTGGTGTCATCTGCAAACTGCTGAGGGTGCATCAACCCACTGATGAAGATGTTAAGGAGCACCGGTCCCAGCACTGACCCCTGTGGGACACCACTTATCTCTGAGCTCCATCTGGACACCGAGTCTTGCTTTTTTTATCATCTGCCAAGCTTTTAAAAAGTGAGCACACATAGACCAGTGACGTGGGTGAGGGACGCAGGGAAGCGACTCAGCTTGCTAATGGCACATCTCACTAGTTTAGCTGTCAGACAGAATCTGACTGATGCAATGCTGGTGACACAGCAGGGCACCTACTGGAGAGCACTCTGTCCATTCTGAGTGGCTGCTGGGGGCCAAGGGCATCTCACACTGCACCCATCACCTGGCTTTGGTGCTCTGAAGATCTCTGGTTAAAGCAGCAGCGGGAGGGTCGGGTACTTTGCTGCACCTCTCAGGATGCAGTGTTCCCAGGGATGCTTCTGGGGTGATCTTGCAGTTGTGCCCATCCAGTGCCACAGTGCTCCTTTCGTGTAAAGTCATCCACAACCCTTCAGATCCAGTCTGGTCTGTGGAGCAGGAACTGAGAGCTGCCAGGGAAGCTCAGGTCCTGATACACCCACAGGTGACACTCTTGTATTGGCAAGGAAAGGCTGGGATATCCGAGTTGGGTACAGGGGAATGATGGAATACTGTGGGTGTTTTCTGAACAATTAGATCCCAGAAAGCACATGCACGCTTGGCAATTCTAACATCTGGAGTATTTTTGCAGGAAATCATTCAACTGCAGCAGAACTAACCAGTTAGAACAGTTTGAAATGTTATTTCAAGGTACTTTAATCTGGGAACTATATGTATGTTTGCATGGACTTCTGCTGTGAAATTCCTTTTCCCATGGAGCAGAGCGGGGTGACAGAGAACAGCAAAATGACTCTTAATTTGGGGCAATAACTAGAATATGGTGTTGAACAAAGTTAAAACCAGTTTGTTTATTTAGGACTGTGAGCGTATAATTACTTATTTTGCAAGATCTCTGGGACAGTGAAGTGGTAGATATGGTGATGTTGAGCCAAAGGTCTTTTGGTGGCTAAATCAAAAAGCTTCCCACGGTCGTTTTTGTGCTACTGTTTGCACAGGGGAAACTGTCCATTTATTCCTCATATTTTAAATCCTAACCCGTTCCAAAAGGAGCACTCAGAAAAAATGCTGGTGTTTGAAACAACGCTCCATGTTCTTCAGGCATTCACTGTGAGCGTGGCTCAGCGTTCATCCGTTCATCCATCTGCCTGTCCATCTGTCTGTCCAACCCTTTTGCCAACAAGTTGTTGGCACCAATCTG